ACCCCTCATCATTGTAGTTGCCCTCCTCTCTCCCACCCTCTCTCTTCCCCTCTCCCACCTCCTTTTCCCAGTCTCCCCCAGTTTTGTTCGATAAAGAGAGATTCTATTTTTGAACACAATTGTCCTTTATTTTGTACATCAGGAAGGGGGACTAAGGAGGGGTAAGTGGAAGGAGGTGAGGGAGGAATGGGGTACGAGCCCCCGATGGAGAGGACTGGGCTGGCTCTGCGGGCTTCTGGGGGTGGAACCTTTCCTGCAGCCCCCCAATTGCCCCCTCTATCATAATTCAAAATGATCTGGACAAATTGGAGAAATGGTCTGAGGCAAACACTGGAATAAGTTGCCTAGGGAGGGCACCCCTGAGAACTGTCTGTCTGGGGTGTGGGTCAGGTCCCTTTAAGCACAGCCCTCGGCTAGCCTGAACCAGCAGCTCCACGCTCTAAGTCCTCCTCTGATGCCCTGCCGGCACTGCTTCCGGCCAGCCTTAACCCCGGTTCAGGGTCCGCTCTGTGTGGACATGCTAGTTCGAATTAGCAAAACGCTAATTCGAACTAGTTTTTTAGTCTGGATGCGTTAGTTCGAATTAGCTTAGTTCGAATTAGCGCTGTAGTGTAGACATACCTTTAGAGACTAACAATACATATCTATATAGCATATAGTTTTTGCTGTCTTTAAGGTGCTACAGGATCACTCGTTTTTTACGGTTTTTTAAGTTACAGACTTATACAACTACTCCTCTGAGTCTCTTAATAAAGGTGCATCTTAAGGATAATGTTAAAGGCTTGGGTGGTTGCTTTCCCCCATTCCCGTGACACTCTGGTTTGCAGAACAGTTTTAATCCCTCTTCTTCCCTTCCCTTGGAGCTGCTGTGCAGAGGTTAAGAGCACTGTAATGAAATAACAGCCTCTCACTGTGCCGTCCTCAGATCTCCTGAGCAAAACAAAGCAGCTGCTGGGAGTGCACCAGATGACTGCATTGAGCCTGTCTCACCACCAGAGAGTGTGGGAGAGTCAGAGCACGCAAGGAGCACCACCTACCCGATCTTGTAAGGAGAGGGAGAACAGTCAGAGCAAAGGTAATCACAGGAGGCGAGGAATGTGGATTGTTCCTACCTGGCCAGGGGTTACAGCACAAAAGCAATACTCTGGGCTCTTCCTTGCCCTGAGGTTCTGCTCTGAGTCAGAGCTGGGCTGTCCTGGAGCACGGAAGTTTATAGTGATCTGCTGCCGTTCTGTGCTGCTTGCCCTTGAGTGCTCTGGGCCTGGCCTGCAATGGCTTGCTGAGCTGACTGCTGGCTTTCTTTGTTTGTATTACTGCTGGGGTTGGATGAGCCACCAAATAACAGGGGTGAAGGAATAACTTGCTTTGCAACCTCAGCATGAAGTCTTACCCTCTGACATCTCCTGGCTGGGGACACCTCTTTGCCTTTTGTCTGTGGCTCTCCAAGCACAATTTGTTAATTCTTCCCACCCCTCTGTGCAGTGTTTGATCCCTGCTGCAGAGGAACAGATTGAGGCTGAGTGACTCGCCCCAAGATCACATGCAGAGACAGCCCTCCAAGAGGAGAACCCAGGTGTCGCTGGCTTGGCAGCTCAGAGCTCCCCTGCCTTTGTCCTGCAGCTCTGCCAGGATGCCTTACCATGTAATCTTTCTGCTCCAGTGTTCAACTGAGCAGGAACAATTCACTTCTGGCTAGAGGATTTCAAGGTAGAGATTTAAAGGGGTAACCGGAGTAGTCCCCACCTGCACTGCACCCTGCCTGGCCCAATCAGAAAAGGCCCCGCCTGCGGCACTCCCTGCCCAGCCCAGCTGGGCCAGCTGTGCTGCAGGCCATTTAATCAATTAAACATCCCGATTAAACTTTTAAATGGGATGTTACATCCCTATTGAAGATCCGGTGGAGATTTGGTTGGGGCCATTCAGTCTAGAGTAAGAAGAACTAGGCCAGAAGTCAGCCAAGTGATGTTTTGTGATCGGGGACTTCCAGGAAGAATTAGCCACACTCTATTTAGGGGCATTTGATCAATCTCAAAGTGAAGACAACCTGACTCATAAGTCTAAGCTAGAAACTGCATATGTCAGGGAGGCCTGGGGGCTGGTTCAAAGGATTGTGTGACTAATAGGATAGTGACTCAGCAGACAGAAGGGTGCTATGCAGCCATTTCTGATAACCTTTTGCTTTACAGAATGGGTTCCAAATCCCCAGGAAACACCACCCAACCCCCAGCCTTCTTCAGCAAACTGACAGAGAGCAACTCTGCCATGGTGAAATCCAAGAAGCAAGAGATCATCAAAAAGCTCGGCACGACCAACAGGAGCGAGACGGAGTATAGTAAGGCTTTCAGGCTGGGGCTTTCACATAGCAGCAGCCAGATGGGGTGGAATGGGATGAAAACCAAAGAGAGACGGCATTCCAGAGAAACCCTATTTATCAGATGGCTGCTGTCATGCCTGAAAGGGATGTGGCCTCACCTCCCAGACTTGAGCAGTCTGAAGCCAGGTTCTTCTACACACACACACCCCGCCCCTCTCTCTCGCGCGCACACACACTCCATGCTTTTATCCCCTCCATGCAGTGGCTTGTCATTACATACAGCTGGGAAAGCACCTCCAGGGCCTCTCCTGCATACAAGTGCCCAGATCATGCACTATGGCAGAGGGTGCATGCAGTGGCCAGGCATGTTGAGAGCTATCTCAGTGCAGTGTCTTCCCACTGCACAGATCTGTCAAAGAGAGGAACAGGGTGGGGAGAGCTGCCAATGGGGAGAAGAGAGACATGGGCAGATGTCTTAGGAGAGTCATGGGCCTGTAGTGTAAGTCAAACAAACCTCTCCGCTATAGCAAACCACATTGATAATGCAGCAGCGAGGCTGGGGTTCTGAGAGACCCCAAAGATGTCTCCCAGGAGCTGTGCCTGTCACTCCCACCCCACTCACCAGCACTAATGACCTTGAATAGAGGAGTCTTAAAAGCTGTTGATGTTTTCATGGCAGCCCAGCCAGCCTGTCTTCTGCCTCCTGGAGCCACATTCAACCCACCACCAGTATTGGCACAACTCTGAAAAAACACCCAGCCGGCCTTGTATTCAAAATTCATCCCCGTCTTTCATTACCTGCTAATAGATAGGAGTGAAATTTAATTGAGCCCAGCATTATACAGTCAATACTAATTCAATGTGAATCCATCTGACAGCAGCTGCCTTGGATAAGAAGGACCGAGCTGTCTCGTCCTGTCGGTGCTGTTACCATGATCCAACCCATACTTTATGTCCCTTGGGGATGTGTGGCTGAACCAAGTGACCCTCCTCTCATTTCCTTATCAGAGGAAAATAGACAGAGATAGGAAACGCCTTTTGTTTGATGAGAACTGCTGTTATTCTAGGGAAAGTGAGACCCAAGTCAAACAGCTCAGCTAAGAGGAAAAATATTGTCATAGGATTTCCCGCTCACTGAGTGCATGAACTAAAGTCCTCTCTGGAAATGAGGGACTGGGCCTTTGGAAACACCATGAGAAAGCTCTGGGATTTTGTACCCCAGCTTAGCCTGCTGGAGGCCAGGCTCTCTGGAGAGTGGTATATGGGATGTCACTGGTGGGCATCCACATGGTTTTCTGGAGCCCTGCTGCATTAATGTTGGTATAGAACACTAGAACCGGAAAGGATCTTGAGGGATCATCAAGTCCAGTCCCCTGCCCTCGTGGCAGGACCAAGCACCATCTAGATCATCCCTGATAGATGTCTGTCTAACCTACTCTTATAAATTTCTCATGACAGAGATTCCACAATTCCCGTACACAATTTATTCCAGTGTTTAATCACCCAGACAGTTAAGAACTTTTTCCTAATGTCCAATCTAAACCTCCCTTGCTGCAGTTTAAACCTGCACCTGTGAGTCTCTATTTCTGCCTATGGCCCAGTTGGTAAGAGCAGTGTTCTCCCGTGCACTGCCACTGCTTGTGTATCAAACCATCTGGAAGAGCTTCATACAACACGGATGGTCTGGGCCCTTCTTGGAAAGTCTCTGACGCTGATTGGAATGCCCAGGGACTACTCATTATTTTGGAATTGAATTGCTTTAAAATCAGAGAGGATACATTCTAGTTCCTCATCCCACCCACCCACAACTCGAACGTGGCCTGAGATTTTGTCGTTGTGGCTAATGTAAGGTGGGTGGGGATGCCTCAAACTGTGTATCCCATGATCCTCTGTTAGGAAGGAAATGCTCCCTTAGGAGCTACCTGTTGTGCCTTGCAGTTCATGCTGAGGGACTTCTTTGTCTTCCTCCAGATGTTGGACAGCCTGGGACAGAGATCTTCAACATGCCAGCCATTACTGGACCAGGTAACAGTCCTGATATGTCTTTATTGTATGCCATGCTCTGCCATAGGCCATACAGAATCCACCGCCCGAGAAGAGGAAATTTGGTGGGTTCTGGTGTTGTTTGCTGTAATGAGATATGATCTATCCCTGGTGGGAAAGGTGGGAGGCTAGGGGAATAGGTGAATCCTGTTCTCCCGTTTTGAAAGCTGCTTTGTTTGACTGCAGGCTACAACAGCCTCCTCCTTTCAAAGCCTCTTGGTCAGTGGAGAGCAAGATGCAGCTCAAGGGCTACACATGGCCCATCAGTTATCTACCTGTAGCCCTCCAGACAGTTTGTTTGCCATTGCTCACGTTCAGTGTCAGCCATTACCGCTGGTTTCTGTCCATGATACTTTTTTCCTACCAGTGACACTAAAGGGACACTCACATAAAGCAAGAGCACGTGAAGTGAAGTGCATTCTCATTGCACACAACATGAACTGTGAGAGCCGTGTGCTCCCTCTGTAGCCAAAGTGGTGCTACAGTTCAATGCCTGCAAATTCTAGGTACGCAAGCACTTTAGCAAAACTACCCTACCCCAAGACAGCATCTTGGGTAGGACAATCCTGCAGCCCACTGAGAGGAAGGAGGTCACTCATGCAGCCCTCTCAGTAGCCTATGTTGCCCATCACTGCTCCACGTTGTCAGAATTTGAGGATACATAAATACTTACAAGCAGGGAGGGTTTTGGCCTAAGGCCAGTTGTGTGGGTTGGGAGGAGATCAGGTAATGCCAACAGGGAGGTGAGTGAAAGGAAACCATATCTTTAAATGGACTCTTCCTGGCAGAGGGCCATTATATAGGGCAGATTGCTGCCGTGAAGAGATGTGAGGTGACAGAGCCAATGTTCATGTAAGAGTGTGAGCTGGCAAATGGGAAGGCTAGATCTAGAACACAAGGGAGCGAGAACAATAGGCTTTAACTCCGCCACACATGATGGGCTGGATGCTGGAATCAGGGATGAGGTTCTCAGGTATCTGGTAGGAAGGAGATGCAACTCAATGATCATGCAGCTCCCATCCAGACTTTGGCCACTTAATTCAGGCCTTTGACAGAGGTATAATCCCCCCCCAAAATGCAGCAGAGGCTGCCCTCAGTTCCCAGCCAACTCCTTGTTTCATTTCCCCAGACGTATGTCTTGCTGGAAGCAGAAAGGCCCCACATGTCTAAGGTTGGGCCACGTGGTGTCCCAGGCTTTCTCCAGTGGACACAGATCAGGCACACTGGGTTATTAATACCTGTTTAAGGGACACATGCCGGACAAAGCAATGACTGGCTGAGCTCAGAAGGTGGGAGAGAGAGAGAAGACGGGCTCAGATGTTGGTTCTTTACAGACAAAAAAATTACTTTGAAATGAAGATGCTTCAGGCTTTAAAGCCTCGTTCAGTAACAATCCAGCTGCAAATGTTGTGATAAGTTAATGCTTGGTTAGTCTGGGCATTGCGCAAGCTGCTGTGCACTCCAGATGTAGAGACCATCCCTGCCCTGAAGAGCTTCCTGTCAAAATGACTGAAGCCTGATGGGAAAAGGGGGCTGGCTGCGGAGAGTCTTAAATGACAGGGGTGAGGATGGCAACTTGACAGAGAGAGTCTGGAAGATCAGGCTGTGGGGGCATTGTGGTACTGCAGAGCCTAGCACATAGTTCAGCAGTTGAGAGTTGTCTCTGCAGGGGTAGTTGGGAGTGGGTGGGGCTGGTCAGATCCATAGGTAGACAACAGTGCATCCATATCCAGAGTTACCATTTCTGACGATGGGCCAACAGAAATTTCCTTGCTGCCATGGGAACAGAGGTCCCCCGCTCCCCACTCCGTTACTGACACAGTTTTAGCAACGACGGTAGTTGCATTTGGCCTCTAGGAGCTCTCTTGCAGCCTGAGGCTGCTCTCAGAGAAGAGTGTGGGAATCTTTTCAGGCCCAGTGCCTTACTACAGTTCTTCCTACCTGCCCATGGGCATTCACCACTGAGTAACAATGAGCTCGTGTGCGTAAGAGACTTCTGCTCCCTTTCTGCAGGACAGGGGCTCTGGAAGTGGAGAGACTGTACTTCTGTAAGTGAGGCCTATGACTGGAGCCCTGTGGGGCTCCAAAGAGCCAAGCCCATGACTCTTAGCTCTGCATGTCTCTTTCACTCTCCATACAAGCTGCCAGGCCCCTGCTGCTCCTGCCCACTCCAACTCCACACAAGAAGGAGTCCGGGACAGTATCAGTGACCCTATCGCACTCCATAGCAACAGGGAGCCAAGCAGCCCTGGGCAGCGAGGACCCTCCCTCCCACATGAGCCAATAGCCAGCTCCTGTGGGAAGTAGGAGGGGTCCCACAATCTTCTTCCCTTGGGTTGAGGGGAGTCTGCGAATCTCAAATGATGGCCTGTCTTTCAAGAGTTGTCAGGCCACCCTAGGGCATAGGCTCAGGTTTCGGTTGCTGCCCCTGGCTTCTTCAGTAGCAGGCTTGCCTGCCCCAGTTCAGACTTGCGCCTCCTCAGATGTCAGAGGTTGGGGAACTGGGTTGCTCTCCACCTTTCATCTCCAGTGGCTTCTTTTTTCACCCAGCTATAAAATAATCTGTGGAGAGACCTGAAAGGAGGCCTGGTGGAGGGATTAGACATGGGAAGGGTCAGGAACAAGGTTCTTGTCCCATCTCTGCCACTGGCTTGCTGGGTGACTTTGGCTTCACCTCACAGGGCCTCGTTCTATGCAGAGGATCCTGCAAAGCCTGCTTCCCAGGGGGATGGGAGCTTCCTACCGGGAGCGCACCCTGAGCCTCTCCACTGAAGCACTGTCTATACAGGCATCACAGCATGCTTCATGAGTTAGACCAACCTAGTGTCTTATGTGCATTGGTGCTGTGTCTCACACCGAAACCTACAACAATGTGGCCCTCCTCACAGAGTCCCCCAATCTGAGAACATGGACTTCAGTGGCATTGCTACAGGGCTGGTCATTTTGTAGAAGGTCTAGAAATGGTTAAACTTCCCAGGGATGAAAAATGAGCTCTAGGATTCTGGCTGCACTGTCCCCAAACCCCACCGTTTGGGAGACCCTGCACAGTGGTGAAGCTGACTCATCTGACAGCCGGACCAGCCCCTTTAGCTGTGACCTAGCAGCACTGTGGGGTTGCCGGTCCTTGTCCATGTCAGTAGGAGCTAGGGTGCAAGATGTGCTGCAGGGAAAAGCCTGTGGCTAAGGGTGGTAGTGCTGGAGCTGAGCAAAACAGAAGGGACAAACGTTGGGAGTGTTGGTGAGTTTGGGACACTCACCCCAGAGCGTATGTGTTGGGAGCTGCCCTTTTGCAGGGGGAGGAATGAACATGTGTGTGCCCCCACTGCTAAGGAGACGTGCAAGCTATAAGGAGGGTCTGTGTGACTGCAATTTTCCCCTGATGCAGGAGAATTGCTAGGGGCTAGAAGAGGGGGCTGCAGGCACCAAAGTGTGGATTAAGGGAACATGGCCTTTTATTTTCATGCCTGTATTTTGACTCTTTAAGTTTTTGCCCTTGCTCATTTCCTGTAACCAATGCGCTGGGAATGACAGTCCCATGGCTGAGCGAGTGCCCTACCGTCCCCGTGCGGCGCTGCACTATAACTGCATGGCTTCTGATGACTCACAAGTACTCAGACACACCACTGTGTTTCTGCATCCTGTTTTCTCGTGACATTTGAGTTGTAGCGGTGCGTGTGCGCGCCCCAGGGGTGCAGGAGTTGGGACTGCAACAGATGTTGCAGGGGGCTGAGAAGGAATTAAACAGCACGGGGAAAGATTCTCTTCTCTTGGCCTCCCCTTGCTTCTCTCCCTCACAGCCAGAAGAGACTAGCCCCACAGGAGAGCTTATTGCTGGGCTGCGTGCCCACAAGGCACTGCCAGCTGCAGTGTGTGTGCCCCGCAGCCTGCCACACCATTGTGGGGCCTCCATCCAATTTTTTTTTTTAAATCTCTCCCATGCCTCAGACCTTTCTTCACTCAGCAAGTAGTTTTATACTCCCCTTTGCTCCCCCAGCCCTGCCATGCCCTGGGGCGGGGCGGGGGGACGGAGTGCACTGCAGAGCTTTAAAACAATATGACCAATTTTGTTGCTTTGCAAGAATGTGCTGACTGTTTGTTTCTTCCCTTCTCCCTTGTCTCCTTTCTCCCTCCTCCCCCATCTTTCTTCTTATTTGGTTCCTCTCCCACCCCTCACCTCTCCTTCCCCTTCCTCATCTCCCAGGGCTAATCAATTGTAGAAGCCAGGCGGTTCAAGACAATTCCAGTACCAACATGGGGTTGGAGGCAATAATTAGGAAGGCCCTAATGGGTAAATATGACGAGCAGTGGGAAGAGCGCTCGCCTCTCAGTGCCAATGCTTTTAACTCTCTGAATGCCAGCACAGGTGTGCCCGCTGCTATGCCCATAACCGCTGCTGACGGACGGAATGACGACATGCGCGCCTTGCCAGGTCTGCAGCCCTTTCCGCCTTTGCTGTGTTGTTTGTCCTTCTTTGTATCCTCTTCAGTCTGTGTGTGTCCTCCGAGCTTTGTGAATTTGCTGATTAATCCCAGAATCTCTGACGTTAACGTCCAAAAGGCGCTGTTGCTTTTCCTCTAAAACACTGACTGGCTTCTTTTCATCTCCTTTTTCTCTTACGATGTAAAAAGTTTATTTAGAAAGGCATGGCCGAGAAGTGTGCATTTAAAACAAGCGCCAAACCTGAGCAAGGTGCCTGATTCAGCAAGGCCTGTACGCATCCCTGCAGATGCCGGGGGCATCAGGGAAAGCCCTTGATTGAAATCCCACTCAGAAGTGCTTTGCTGAATCAGGGCCTGAGGTCACATTGCCCCACAAGAGCTCCCCACCCAGTGAGAGATCCAAGCTCCTTAGTAGAAAAGTGCTCCCTGAACAAACACAGTCCTTTAAAATGTGCGCACCCCAGGGCAGGAATCAGGGAAGGGAATATTGTGGGCACTGGGGGCAGAGAAGCGCAAAGTTTTCCATTCCCCTACAGCCCAGGTGTCCCTAGCTCTGGGGCAGGGCTGTGTGTGGCCCCTAAGGCCTAGGGAAATGACCTTATTCAGTGGCAGCAGGGTGAGCAGGGAGAGCGCCCAACAAGTGAAGCCCTAGGGAGGATCAGCCTTCACCCACTCTTGGCCAGGTTGATGGTTGGCTCCAAGCATTTCTTTAGTTTTAGTTTTGCCTGCCCACCAGTCAGCCACTGCAAAGGCCTGGTGATGTCTATCACTGCTCTGGCAGACCGCCGGGCTCACTAGTGGAGCAGTGCAAATGGCAGCCCCACAGCGGCCAGGGCTGGTTCGCTTCCCATGGGATGGAGGGATGCAGCGTTGGAGGCATCGGGAAGGGGAGGGAAGCTTTAAGGTAGCTGAGAATTCCGAAACATGGGCAGGGGCAGAGTCAGCCATTCCCCCACATAGCAATTGCTTTGCCATCCACACGGGTTATTAACCACTGAGTTACATCTTGTCCCCAGCTAGCAGGGGATGTGGCAGGGGAGAAGAGCCCTGCTGCTTCTCCTTCACCAGCATTGTGCCCGCTGGGAGGAATTCACCAGAATGGACCTTTAATACAGGTTTTTTGGGGGGGCTAGGGCAAAATCTGAAAGCGAGCTCCCCACCCCACCCTTTCAAAAGCCATTGCCTTGGAGATGAAGGGGCTCAGAGTTGGGAGACTGGGAGAGCAAAGCCACCCATACTCACCCCACAGCAGCAACTCCTGTCCTGCAGGGCTGGGCCCGGCTCCTCGCTTCAGGCCTTGCAGCCTGGTGCACAGGTTCACAGCACCACTCAGCTTTGGCCCTTCTGTCCCTCCATCAGGATAGGGATGGCCAGGCGAGGGTTGAGTGAGTGGGGTTGCAAACCCCTGGCCCAGGTCATAATGTCACTCAGCATCTATGGGTGGAGGGCAGCCCTGCATTGTCTGTAGAGAGGAAGGAGGTACATGTGGGTGCCTGTTCCTTCTCACACCCAATAGGACAGGCACTGAGTCCCAGAAGACCCCAAGCACTGGGTTTTAGGTGTTCCATGAGGTTCTCCCAGACCCTTGCCGGAAGGCAGACAGATACCTTTCACCAGCCCACCCTCTCCTGGGGTCAGACCCTTCAGCTCATCCAAGAATGCCGCCCTTGTGCTGGACACAAGCTGCTGCAGCTTGCTTCATGGTGCTAGTTGAGTTCATCAAGGCCATGGAGTTGCAGGGAGGGTAAATCAGGGAAGTGTTTGGTCCTCTGAGCCGTTCCATTGCAGCAGCCTTGTTCCAGCAGAGGGCCGTGAAGTCACTGAGCTTGTTAGCAAAGGGCAGGTAGGAGTTTGCTGGTAGAGCACCCTGAATACAGACACACTCTTTGCTTCCTGTAGCTCTGGTGGCCCCCGTAGGTGCCACATGCCATTCAGAATGTCCAAGAGGCGTAAATTAAGCTCCTTGTGATATCAGGGACTCAACCAGAGACACCTTAAAGGGGCGAGACATTGTCGAGGTCTGAGCACCCACCCTTTGAAAATCAGGCCACTTTAAGGCATCTCTAGTTGGGCCCCCAAAATCATGAGTCGCCTTTGCAGCCTTGGCCATGTGGCGCGTGTCTGTTGGAAAAGCAGGGTGCTTCTCTTGCAGGAGGAGGGGGGAAGCCAAAGATTGCTGCCAGACCCAATAGCCGCAAGGCTAAGTCTCCAGCGCCGGGCCTGTCCTCTGGAGAGAGGCCACCATCTGTTTCTTCTGTTCATTCAGAGGGGGACTGTAACAGGAGGACACCGCTAACCAATCGAGTTTGGGAGGACAGGCCTTCATCTGCAGGTATTACCACTCTGCCTCCTACAGGGCTTCAGATTCACAGTCTGCTGGGAGGGGCTGAGGGCAGATATTGCCTCCAGATACCCCAGTGTGCATCAGCTGTTTCAACTCAGCAGGGAAGTTACTGCTGCTTATACCCAGGGAGACCCCTGGGACTGAGACGCTAGAACAGAGAGTGGGATGACCACAAAAGCGAAGTGACCAATAGCACTAGCCATGCATCTAGAGCCTGTACCAGGGCCTAAAAACATCTAGGCTACAGAGGTAGCAGGCAAGCTTCCTCACACAGCTCTGCCAATGCATTTCACTCCTGATGTGGAGGCCCCATCTACCAGCCCACCCCTGGGCCACCCCCCACTGCCCTGTCCTGTCAACACCCTTTGCCATCCCTGATCTGCAGCACCCCCAGCTATTTCTGCCTTGAGCCCCACATGGCTGTGCCAGTTCATCATCCTCCTGACTCACAGGTGCTGTGGCCCTTCCAGTCCTGGGCCACTGTTCAACAGAGCCTGCCAGTAGTGCTGCATGGCCAGCGGGCACTCAGACAAGGCCATGATATTGATGTGGAGAAGGGGATGGGCTGGTGAGTGAATTTCCCATCCTGGGCTGCCCCTTGGACCCTGCTGAGTGTCTTCTTTCATTCCGCCCTGATACAGGTTCCACACCATTTCCATACAACCCACTGACAATGAGGCTTCCAACCGGCGTGGTGACGGCCCCGCCCCCAGCGTCCATTCCACAAGGGAACTCCGCCAGCCAGCACCACGCCTGGGAAGAGGAGCCCAAGCCCCTGCTCTGCTCCCAGTATGAAACGCTGTCAGACAGCGAATGAACGAACGAGAGAGCAGGAGCAGAGCAGACAAACCGGTCAGCTGGCCAGGGTGAACACCAACCACAACAGTCCACGGTGCTGTCAGCAAAGAAGCTAGAGCAGCACTTTTCCAATCGGTTGATTTCTCACATCAGGAAATTTCTGAATCCTCTTCAGTCCAAAGCCTTAAGACAGCCAGATGGAACCCAGCCTAATTCTCTTTCCAGCACTGGTGTCCTCCACCACCTGATTAATCACCACTCACTGAATCTCAGGTGTTTACTCAGGGGAGGCCAGCTGGTGCTCTGGTTCCGGTTCTCCCCTTAGATTTGGTGAGGGTGAGGAAACCCACGTTGGGAGGAGTGTGAGCGTGCTTGGGTGCATGTGCGTATACTACATGTGTGTGTCCGTGCATATGCACACATAGAGCATGTATTCTCTGCCACCTGATTAATCACCACTCACTGAATCTCAGGTGTTTACTCAGGGGAGGCCAGCTGGTGCTCTGGTTCCGGTTCTCCCCTTAGATTTGGTGAGGGTGAGGAAACCCACGTTGGGAGGAGTGTGAGCGTGCTTGGGTGCATGTGCGTATACTACATGTGTGTGTCCGTGCATATGCACACATAGAGCATGTATTCTCTGCCTGCACACCCATGTTGCCTGCTATCGAGTACTTGAAATAGGATTAGACTGCCCTTCCCCAGCTTCCAGGTTATTCCATGTGCTTATTAGCACATGGGCTGCACCACTGAATTATAAAGTCAAAAAGGCCCCATTTTGTTCATCTTTGGCAGCTCGGGATGTTTTTTCTTACAGGCATCCACACCCAGCAGCGCCATGAAAGATCAGACCCCAGAAACAAACAAAAATTGGGTTGGGGGGAATAAGAAGAAAACTAAGGATCTATTTTTTAAAAAGTCCTGCGACAGAAACCCTCGGTTTATATTGTAATCAAAAGAAATTTCCCATTTTGTGGTGCATTAATCTGCAGATGAAAGGGACTCTATTGCTTTAAGTGCATTGTTTCCTGAATGGTGAGAAAAAAGCAATTGTAAATGATGTATTGGTCTACAGGGTATATTTTTGATACCTTCAGTGAATTATGTCAAGATGTTTGACGTGAGGAAGGACTTAAAACAGTATTACGTGCTGCTTTCAGTCTCGGCTCCTGGAAAAGAGGTTCTGTTATTGTGTGCAAGATTTGACAAGTTTGTCCATTGTATGGAAATGTAAAAAAGGTCTCGTTGATCCATCGCAGTTGTCTGTACGTCGGTAGAATGTATTAACTTAGTTTAAAAAAAATGTTGCCACAACTGCAGGGCCTCTTCTTTATTACATATACTGCTTTTAAGCCAAGAGGGATTTTCTTTTCCTTACAGAGGTTTACTCTCCAGCATGGAGCTCTCAAGGGAGCCTTTCAGACGACCTTGTCAATGTTTTTTGTTTGCAGTGGGAGGGGATTCATGAGAAACTTAAAAACATTTGTATTGTGTTTTTTTCTGATGCACACAAAGGCTTTGCTTCGTATTATTTTTCATTCTGTGATGTTGGATCATATCTGCAGTTACATGGTTCAAGAACAAAATATTAGACCTTTGTTTTCCTTCACGTTGCTTTCTCGCTGTGGAGTTGGGGTTGGGGGGGGGGGAGGGAGAAAGGATACAGTAAATGCTTTGCATTCTTCAAGCTAAAGAAAGACCACGAGGACATACAGACTTTCTGCTTCTCCCACTGCCTGTTGGAATAGACAGCTGCTGTGTAACTGAATCTCTCTGATTGCCTAGGAATATATCACTATCAACGTTTTTGGGTTTTTTTACACTGTCCCGAGAGTGATTCTCATTTTAGAACATCAGAAACACTGTGTGTGGTGGCTGATTGTTTCAGAGAGTGGGGTTGGGCTTTTTTTTTTTTTAACTATGTCAGGTTTTTAATGTTGAGTGACATTTGCATCTTTCCTGCTGCACTTTTTTGTTTTTTCAACACACAAAATAAGCGTTTCTTCCCTAGATGTTGCTGCAGGTGTGGCACAGCTCAGAAACAACACCTGATGGTTTGGATATAATGCATTATGAAGAAGTTGTAGATTCTACTGAGTTAAAATTCAGATTCACCCCATCTTTCCTCCTTCTAGAGACCTCTTTTATTAAAAAAAACATTAGGCTGAATGGTCTAGCACTGGTAGTAATAGCATGGCCAACTGCAGTCTCTTGCCAAAAATGTTTGCATTTTTTCAATGAGAAATGGACATGCTTTTCACTCAAATGTGTGCCAGAAATCCATCCCATTTTTTATTTGCACAGGAAAAGAAAAAAGGTGATTTGTCACAAAAAATATTCCCCATTTTCAGCCAGCTCTGCTTTTGGACCTTTCACTGTAGCATTTTTCTGTTTGCATAAAGAATCTAAGCTTTGTCAGCCACCATTAGATTAAGCTGCAGCTCTACCTGGCCACAGGTGACAGCAGGAGGAAATAAACCCAGGTGCCTGTGCTAATGGACAGAGAAAGTGGATTTCAAACATCTGAGGCGCTGAATCGTCTGGTCTTTGCCTCACTTAGACAAAGGGGCTTAGACCCCAGCAGAGCGAGCTGGAGGTGTGTGCTGACATTTCCCGTATATCATGGTGAATCTGGCTGTACGATGCCAAAGAAAGGGGCATTCTGCTTGGAAAACAGAGACAAGCTGGGAGGAGGGGTTGGGGTTCTCGTTCTGCATGGGCTGGTCCCAGAAGGCAGCCATTGCAACCTGTCAGAGATCAGTGAAGCACTGAAGAATTTAGGCTGGAAGTTTCCAAGAGAGCATAATGGAGTTAGGCACCCAGCAGTCAATGGCCTTCAGTGGAAGCTTGGGATCCTTAACCCCTTTAAGCTTTGCAAATCCTGTGGCCTAAGTAGCTTGGTTTTGCTGACAGCCCCCAGGCCAGATGTGCTGAGATAGTTTACCCTGTGCCATGCAAATCGTAATCACAATCATCCGGCTACAGAGGTTCTGCTTCCTCCCTTTCCATCCCTCTGCCCCATTCATCCTCCGCAAGACCTCGTCCTAGATTCCCCAAGTCCAAGGGCCATCCACGTGCGTGGTTTTGGTTAGACACTTGGGCATCCTCCACCCACGGAGAAAAGGAAACCACTAGTTAACATACAAAGAGTCATACACGTGATCACGCTGCTGTCTGATGACACCTCAGTGATACATGGCAACCCCAGGCTGGGTGAATATCACTGTGCTGTAGAAAGTCCTGTTAGGTCAGAACCAGAAAAGGGGTGAGGGGTGGGGAATATCTAACAGGGAGGGAAGAGCCATGGAAATCCTTTCGGTGTCATGGGCAGCCCCTCAGCTGCCCCCTGGCTTATTTTCTATCGAAGGGAGTGTGTCAGGCAAAGGATGGGGGTGGGGCTCTCCTTGTGGCTGCTGTTTCCTTCCAGACTTTAGGACCTGATGTTGGGGACCTTGGGAGCAGAGTCAAAGCCTAAACTTTGTGGTAAGTCTTGATTCCTTGCTCTCTCTTCTTCCTGGCACTTGCTGTGTGCCAGATGAGTGGAGCCGCAGCTTTGCCACCCCATGTGTCCCTGTCGAAGAGGGCAGCTCACTCTGTTTAACAAGGACAGGCCTGGGATAACTGAACACAGAGAGCCTCCAAAACCACTCGGCAACAGTGTCCTAAAGCCAAGTGTCTTTCACATGCCTGAGACCGTTAGTCCATTTGGGTTCTGTAAAGCAGCACGCATCTTGGATGGATGGATGGATGGATGGATGGATGGATGGGCAGACGTCATCCCAAGGCTTCTGTAGAGCCAGTTTTGCTAGGGGTGTGTGGAAATGGGGACCTGTTCACTAGGCACATGCACTTGCTGGAAGGAGTGATAACTGGTGCCCTGGGTGAGCTAACCCGCTCCCTAGAAATTGGGTTGGGTCTGTTGCTGTCAAGAGCTTCAAGCCTGTAGTTTTATTCTCTTCAGGCTCAAAGAATTTCCTCTGTGAAGTACTGGGAGCCATGAAATCCCCTAGCTGCAGTACCTCTGCTCTGCTCTGCCGTGATATGGGGGCACCAGCTTTAGGGAACGAGCATAGCCCATTGCTCTACTGAACCTGTCCACAGGTGCCGAGTGGGGCATGGTTCCTGCAGTCTGGCGTGAGGAGAGAACTCTGCCTTATTTGTTCCACGACGCAGGCAGCTGAAATCAGGGCTCTCCAGTAGCCTGACAGGCATTGCTACTTTCCTGTACCAAGCAATCTGACAGCTCTTTTATCAGCGACAAACAACTGTACTGGGAACTCACCCTGGCTTCCTCATAGGGTCAAATGCTGAAAGAAACCGTTGCTAGTAAGATACTATTCTGTCTACAGTACTAGAAATGCCTCCGTGTACCCACAGATCCTTACCCTCACCCCACTTTGGAATGCAGACAGGCAGTGCCCAGAGCTCACCAATAGCCCTTGCAGGATAGTGAGTAGGTGAAGGCAACAGGATCTATAAAAGCTCCTGATCTCAGATTTATAGCTTCCTGGTTGGGCTAGTCTGATTTATTCTGGCTCCTGGTTTGTCTAGACACCTGCATGGTAGATACTGAATGACTTTCATGGGGAAAAAATACCCCCTCAAACTCACACACCATCAGCCCCCATATGGATCCATGTCCCGTCTGTGTCCCCAGAAAACACCCCTGGGCAAACCCCAAACTGTGTTGCCAGAAATAACAAAGCCCCCAAAAGCCCACTGTGCCTAGAACTCTCTGTGCCCTTGATGTGAGGGATCCGGCCTCACTGAGTCTGATGATAGCACCACACCAAGCTGGCAAGGGGGTGAGTTGGTAAAAGTTCATACACTTGGATTCCTGACATCCTAGCCCAAGATTCTCAGAGATACTTAGCCACTGGTTTCAATGAGGAAGTTAGGTGCCTACATCTTTTTGAGTATCTGGGTCATAGAGCCTAGCCCCTAAAGTGATGTTTTCCTTTAGTAGGCAAGAAGTAATTCCTGAAGTAAGTGGCAAAACTTGCCGTGAATTCCCTAGGGCAAGATCATGTCCTGTATTATTTCACAGATGCCATTAGGCATAGATACACTAGTTTAATAGTACTGCGTAGAGCCTCATACATCCTAAGGACTGCTGGGGCAGATTTACAATTAAACATACCGTGCCCTGACATGTCCCCACCCTCCAATGACACAGGGCCCCCAGTGCCTGACAGTCCAGCACTGAGTCTAGCAATCCCCCTGTCTCCCAGCAGGGGACAGCAGC